GTTCTGGAGAAAATAGCCTTTTGGAAAGAGAGTTACCTCTCCCTTTTCTGAAGAATGCACTAATTTGGGCTGTGGAGCATATTGAGTACAGAAACAAGCTGGGTTAACTGCAGTTGGGGTCTGAGAGACAGAGGAAGAGAAACCGTTGGTCTTAGTCTCTAGATCAGTGTTTCTCAAACTTGCTAACTGGCTGGGGAATTCTGGGAGTTGAAGTCCACACACCTTAAAGTTGCTAAGGTTGAGAAACACTGCTCTAGATACTAACAACATTTGAGGAGTGGTCTTCTAGAAATGTGATAGGGAAACAGTGAGCCTGAACCCACCTATTGGATGATTAGCTATGAAATTGAGCCTATGCTCAAAGTAGAAATGCAGAAATAAATTATATATCATAGTAATGATAGAAGAAACCAAGCCTTATGTAAAATACCTACCCTCTCCCATATTTTGGAGGATGGAAGTTTCACAGGCAAACCAACATGCAACAGGAGGTTTAGACATTTAAAATAGATCAATACAATCCTATCAAAGCCAATAAAACACTGCAAGTTGGATCTGTAAGAACCCTTTGAGAGGATAAATAGAATACCATGCTTTGGTGCCACAGTAACTGAGTGAATGATATCAGTTCCATGGAAAAGATCTAACGGGCAGCCACTTCTGTGTGTATCATACTATGATTAATCAGTACTATAGAGATGAGTTTCTAACATAAGGAGAAACTACAGAGGTCAAGCAAATAGCTTTGCAGAAGCGTATTAATAGCATGTTTTTCTTTCCTCTTTCTTTGGGTTTTAGAAGCACCAGAAGAAGAGTGATCTTGTAGTTTGCGATCAGACAATTTACCAAGAAATATGATGCAACAGGAAGTTGGTGTTGTTCAGAATGCAAAGAAACAAGAGCTTTTAATTATTTGGAGGGGGAAGTCAGAAAGGTAGAGGAAATACTTTCTATCAGTATAAATGCAAAGCTTTCCATCAACAAGGCAGCAGGCTCCAGAAGGGTAAATACTGTTGAATTTGTTTATTATTAAACTATTAGGGTTAGGCTATGATCCCAATGCACTTACTTGGGTCTACATCGTTCAGTCAGATACAACTGTGGTTGATGTACACCCCAAAGATGGAATTGGTGAATCACCTCCATATTGCTGCCTAGAGAAAATGCGGATGAATCCATGGAATCACCAAGGAAATTTTACTTGTTTAGACATACGTAGGAATGAGTTGTCCAATGTGCACAGGATAACCATGGGTTGGATGTAAGCACAATTTCAAATCTACTTAGTTCAATTTAGCTTATTCCCAAGTGAATGTGATGTTCAAATTACAGGACATGACATCCTAGGATCTTTTGAAAGAACATTAATCCTAATTTTTAAAAGACAGGCTTTAAAAAGTGCACAAAAGGGGGACTAAAACTGGGAAGGAAAGCCAGGTTTTGCCCCCCTTTGTATGCTGGTTTGGTCACCATTGAGTCCAATAAAGATTTTCTTTCTTTTTTAATATATACTGTATATAATTTTTATTAAAGATTTTTTAAAAAGGAAGATAAAAAACTAACACAAACTAATATAGAGTAAGAAAAAAAGAAAGAAAAAGAAATCAGAGAGAAAGCTAAAAGTGCAAGAAAGAAAAGAAAAAGTAAAATAGAAAAGAAAGAAAAAAGATACCAAGAGGTAGCTTCTGAGCTTTTTTACAGCAGTTATACGTACAATTATAAATTTACATCTTACTCTATGGTTACAACATAACTCTCTTCTTTCTATAATCTATCCTGTCTAATCATCAAAACTTTAAATCATAAGTTCATTTTTTTCTGTTTTATGCAAACAGTCCATAAGGGATTTTCAGTCAGCGATAAATGTAGATATTGTCTTTTCTCTGATCAAAGAAGTCAGTTTGGCCATCTCAGCAAGTTCCATCATCTTCACCAACCATTCCTCCATTGTAGGTGTTGCCAAATCTTTCCAGCTTTGTGCATATAATAATCTCACTGCAAT